AAGATAATTAAAAAACGGTTGCAGCAGTATATTGACAGGGAGCTTTCAGAAATGGAAGCTAGATTCAGAAGATGTGGAATGTGACATATCATTGCTGATGTCAGATGGATCTTGGTTATTGACTATTAAAAACTTTAGACTGTGTGGAACATAACAAATTATGACTAACATTGAGAAGAATGGGAATTCCAGAACACTTAATTGTGCTCATGAGGAAGCTGTATGTAGACAAGGAGGATGCCATTTGAACAAGAGGATACTGCATGGTTTAAAATCAGGAAGGATGTGTGTCATGGTTGTATCCATTTACCATACTTATTCAATTTGTATGCTGAGCAAATAATCCAAGTTATGCTATATGAAGAAGAATGTGGCATCAGGATTGGAGGAAGACTCATCAACAACCTGTGATATGCAGACAACATAACCTTGCTTGCTGAAAGTGAGGATGTCTGGAAGCACTTACTGATGAAGATTAAAGACTACAGTCTGCAGTATGGATTATACCTTAACATAAAGAAAACAAAAATAGTCACAACTGGACCAATAAGCAGCATCACGATAAGTGTCTGTGGGGAGGAGTTGTAGTTGTCAAAGATTACTTATTACTTGGATCCAAAATCAACACCTATGCAAGCAGCAGTCAAGAAATCAGACACCAGGGAAATCTGCAATAAAATACCTCTTTAAAGTGCCAAAGAGCAAAGATGTCACTTTAAAGGCTAGGGTGAGCCAAACTCAAGCTGTGGTATTTTCAATCGCCTCCTATGCATATGAAAGCTCTATAATGAATAATGAAGACTGAAGAAGAGTTGTTGCTTTTGAGTTGTGGTGTTGTCAGAAGAGATCATTCCCTGGAGAAAGATATCTTGCTTGGTAAAGTGAAGGGTCAGTGAGAAAGTGGAAGACCCTCAGTGAGATGGATTGACATGGTGGCTGCAGTGATGGGCTCAGGTATAGCAAGTATTGTGAGGCTGGTACAGGAACAGGCAGTGTTTCACTCTGTTGTACACAGGGTCTTTATGAGTGAGAGCCAACTTGACGGCACCTAACAACAACAATTGCTAATGATCGTGAGCTTTTGTTGATATGTTTGTTGGTGACCTGAATATCTTCTTTGGTGAAGTGTCTGTTCATGTTTTCTGCCCATTTTTAAACTGAATTATTTGTCTTTTTGCTGTTTACATGTTGGAGATTTCTATAAATTTTGGACATAAGTCACTTTTCAGATATGTCCTTGCTGAATATATTTTCCCAATCTATAGGTTCTCTTTTCACTCTTTTGGAGAAGTCTTTTGAAGCACATAAGAATTTAATTTTCAGAGGATCCCAGTCACTTAGTATATCTTCTGCCATTTATGCATTTTCACTTATGCTTGGTTGTCTATTGATCCAATATATCAGGACTCGTATGTTTGCTGCTGCTGCTTCTTCTTCCTTTTTTTGAAAAAATGAATTTTACAGTTTTAGGTTTCACATTAAGTCTTTGATCCATCTGGAGTTAGATTTTGTGTGTCGTGTGAGGTATGGATCTTGTTTCATTAATCTGCAAATGGATGTTCATTTTTGTGCGCACCATTTGTTAAAGAGACTATCTCTTCCCCATTTAATGGGTTTCGGCCCTTTCTCAAAGTTTGGCTGACCAGAGGTGGATGGATCTATTTCTGGGTTCTCAATTCTGTTCCACTGCTCTATGTGTCTGACCAGGCTGTTTTGACTACTGTGGCTATATAGTAGGTTTTGAAATCAGGTAGTGTGAGACCTCTTACTTTGTTCTTCTTCTTCAGCAGTGTTTTGCTTATCTGAGGGCTCTCTACTTGCCATATAAAATTAGATATTGGTTTCTCCATGTCATTAAAGAACGTTGATGCAATCTGGATCAGGATTGCATTGAATGTATAGATTGCTTTGGGTAGTACTGACATTTTTACAATGTTCAATCTTCCTATCCATGAGCATGGTATGTTCTTCCATTTATGTAGATCTCTTATGGTTTCTTGGAGTAGTGATTTGTAGTTTTCTTTGTACAGGTCTTTTGTGTCCCTGGCAAGATTTATTCCAAGTATTTTATCTTTTTTATAGGTGCTCTGGTGTAGTGCCTGATTTCCTTATTTCCTTTTCAGAGATCTCTATGCTAGTGTAGAGGAATCCAATTTTTTTTTTTTTTTGTATGTTGGCCTTGTATCCTGCCACTTTACTGAGCCTTTCAATTAGTTTCATTCATTTTCTTGCTGAGTCTCTTGGGTTTTCTATGCATAGGATCATATCATTTGCAAATGACAATAGTTTTACTTCTTCCTTACCAATTTGGATGTCTTTTATTTCCCTTTCTTGCCTTATTGTCCTGGCTAAAACTTCTAGTACAATGTTGAATAGATGTGGTGACAGAGGACATCCTTGTCTGGTTCCTGTTCACAAGGCCTCTCTCTGCTCTTAAGTACAACCTCAGTTTTGCTCCCTTTTTCCACTCTACTCACACTGTCATTTTTGCTGATAATGTGAGGAATGCTTCTGTCTCTGGAACTTTTCACTGCCTATATTTTGCCTAAAATACTCTTCTCAGAGTTTTCTGCTTGGCTAGCATCCTAAATGCCTTAATTTTTTTTTTTTTTTTTGCTTAAAGGCTCCTTATCAGAGGTGACCATACAAAGAAACATTTCCTTTTCACTCTATAACTTACTATCCTGCATTATTTTACTACATAATGTCACTATATATCATGTACTGGTTTATTCAGTCTATTGACCCTCACCTCAAATACACATATATCCTAGAATAACACTGAAGAACAAGGATTTATTTTTTTATTTTTTTTTTGAAACAAACAAATAAAGTTTATTGACTCACATAATGGAAAAATCTAAAAGAAGGTTTAGTTTCATTCAGTTATGACCATGCAAGTATTCAAATGATGTCAATGGCTTGCTCGCACTTTCCAGCGTGCTACTTTATTATGTATTGATTTCATAGTCAGGTGGGGTCTCTCCTTGGGAGATCTCGGCTTACATGGTCATTGTTGTTGTTTGGTGCTGTTGAGTTGATTTCAACTCACAGCATCTCTATGCACAACAGAATGAAACTCGTCCAGTTCGTACAATCATTGCTGGTTTGAGCCCATTATTGCAGCCACTGTGCCAATCCATCTAGTTGAGAGTTGCAAAAAAGGTGTGTGGGCCACATCTCACTTCCCCTAACTTCACAAGGGGGAGGAAGAATCAAGGTCAATAGCCCAAGGCTGATTCCTGTGATGTGAAAGTCAGACATACCACCACCCTCCAGCCTTTTAACCAATTCTGACACCAACCATGCCTCCCAACAGCACTGTCTACTTCTCTGCTGTGTTCGATAATTTGCTGCAAAGGCCAAAGAAAACTCATAGATAATGCTCATGATTATGGGATATATTAGGGAAGTAACAGGTTACAATTAAGGTGTGGAATGCTTAGCATACAGGTCTTCAATCCCGATAGCCTCCCCTCAGCCATACCTGTAGGCCTTCCTCTCATTTGTTCTCAGCCTCTTGGCCTGGCCTCTGCCCTTCTTAAGCTAGTATTATACTGCTGTTTTAGCTCCCTTGATAGGTGTCCAGGGAGGCACCCCACTCTACCAGTAAGTCTCCTCCCTGTAGACAGGCAGATTTTTTTGTTGATGGGCAGGGAAGCCCACCACTGTGTCTCATGATAGACTCTTGTTCTGCTACCTCTGCTGCTGTGGTTTCTCTGCTGCTGTCTATCACCATCTCTGGCCATCTCTGCACAGTGTTACATCTCTCTCTCTTTGTCTCTCTGGCTTCTTGGTTGAGAAGATTCAGTGCAGGGAGCTTGGGCCAAAAGGACGTACTCTACTCCTGGCTCTTCTTTCTTGAAAGTAGTGACATCCCCTTTTTCCCCTCTGGGATGACTCATTTTAAGCCTAGCAAGATGGCAAAACTGACCAATCCCCACGTTAGGGCTCCACACATCACAAGGGTACCATGCACCTTATTTACATTACAAGCTATCCAATCCCCTTGGTGGCCCACAAGCACTTCACATTTGTATGGTTCTACCCAGTCATCTGGTGGGTATCACAAAGACCATTGTTGAAAGACCCATATTAAATAATTCATTACACTGCAAGGGTCTTCCCTTTTTTCACTAACCCTCTGTTTTACCAAGCATGATATCCTTCTCTAGGGACTAGTCCTTCCTGATAACATATCCGAAGTTTGGCTGTTCTCACTTCTAAGGAACATGAGCAAGGATTTTTAAAATTAGTATTTACTGATGTTTCCAGTGCCTTGAGGAACACTCGAGATAAAATAATTGGTCAAAAATATCTGTGGAATAAACTAAATAAAGTCTCAGGGAATTGGTAGACATTTACAAAGGGGCTATTCCCTGTAGAAGGATATGATTCATGGTAACGTACAGGGTTGGCAAAAAGGGGAAGATCCTCAATGGGATGGATTGATACAGTGGCTACAACCATGGGCTGAAGCATAGCAAATATTGTGAGGATGGTGCAAGACCAGGCAATATTTTGTTCAGTTGTACCTGTGGTCACTATGAATTGGAGCCAACTCACTGGCACCTAACAACAACAACATATATTGCCTTGGGAAAAGGTTTGGGATTACAGGAAAGGAAGAGTAGTCAGTTTCAGCATCAAGGAGAAGACAGAGCATTCAAAATGCCATGAAATTCTCAGCCAACGGGTACTAGATTTATAGATAATATATACAATCCACTGCCATTAAGTCAATTCTGACTCATAGCAACCCCGATTGTGTTTCCAAGATGTTAAATCTTCATGGAAGTAGATTTGCCTCATCTTCCTCCCACACAGAGGCTGGTGGGATTGAACCACCAACCTTCTAGTTAGTAGTCAAATGCTTAGGCACTGTGCCACCAGAGCTCCTTAATTAAATATTTAAAATATAAACCACAGTGTGTCTATTAGGTTTTAATGGCTAAGTTTTCATTATTATTATTTTTTTTTCCAATAGTTTCATCAGCTACATGAAATCAGGAAACCAAACACGTGCTTCAGAATTCATCCTTTTGGGGCTCTCAGATGAGGCAGAGCTGCAGTCCCTCCTCTTTGGGCTGTTCCTGTCCATGTACCTGATCACCTTCACTGGGAATCTGCTCATCATCTTGGCCATCATCACGGATGCCCATCTTCACACACCTATGTACCTCTTCCTCTCCAACCTCTCTTTCACAGACATCTGTTTCACCTCCACCATTGTCCCAAAGATGCTGCTGAACATCCAGAGGCAGAATAATGTTATTACCTATGAAGGATGCATCACCCAGATGTATTTTTTCATGCTTTTTGTAGGATTTGACCATTTTCTCTTGACAGCGATGGCCTATGACCGGTTTTTGGCCATCTGTCATCCCTTGCGCTACACACTCATCATGAATCCCAAGTTCTGTGGCCTCCTGCTTCTGGCATCCTGGTTATTGAGTGTTCTGGATGGTCTAGTAAATTGCTTAATGATTTTGCGACTGTCTTTTTGTACAGAGCTGGAAATCCCCCACTTTTTCTGTGAAATTAATCAGGTCATCCTACTGGCTTGTTCTGACACCTTCCTCAATGACTTAGTGATATATTTAGCAACTGGATTTCTGTGTGTTCCACCAGTCTGTGGAATACTTTTCTCTTACACTAAGATTGTATCCTCCATTTGGAGAATTTCATCAGCTGAGGGCAAGCATAAAGCCTTTTCCACTTGTGGGTCTCACCTCTCAGTTGTTGCCTTGTTCTATGGTACAAGTCTTGGAGTTTATCTGAGTTCTGCTGCTACCCAAAACTCCAGAGAAATTGCAGTAGCTTCAGTGATGTACACTGTGATCACACCCATGCTGAACCCATTTATCTACAGTCTTAGAAACAAGGACATAAAGCAGGCCCTAAGAAAACTTTTCAGTTGAAAAGCATTGTCTACACAACAGAATCATTTTTCTTAAAATGATAGAGTTGTGCATTAGCAACAGAGCTCAAAACCATCAAGAACTAAATTTTGATACTGTTACAGGTTAATAAACATGCATTGTTTCCAGATTTCAATTTCCTTGATTTTATACATTATAAGCAATTGTTTCTTCTATAGTTCTTTAAAAAAAAAAATTCATTTTGCATTCTTTTATGGTGATTTGGTTGGAAATAGTTGGCTTTCCACTCAACAATCATGCACATGTTGTTTTGTGACCTTCATTACGATCCCTGTAATGCACTAGCACTCTTCCTACTTCCTCCCTGTATTTACATTTTTATTTATCCTTCTTTTCTGTCCCTTCCTCCCATCTTAGCTTTATTCTTGGGCAAATGCAGCACTTTTGGTCTTGTAAGGTTTGTTGTTCTAATGAGTGCATGCCTTCCTAGTATTATTGTTCACCTTATACATCTTTCTATTGTTTGGGTGAAAGTTTCGTCACAGAGTTGAGTTCAGTTCCAAGCTTGAAGGGTGTCTAAGAGCCATAATCTCAAAGGTTCCACCAGTCTTAGTGAGGCCAGGAAGCCTGGTCTTTGTATGATTTTGAGTTATGTTGTACATTTTTCTCCTAGTCTATCTGGGATCTCCCATTGTGATAGCTTTCAGAGTAGTCAGCAGTTTTAGCTGGACTCCATGTAGTTCTTCTGGTGTCAAGGTCATGGAGGTTGCTGTTCACATGGACCATTGTTCCTCTGGATTAGTTGTTTCCTTGCTTCTTTGATTTTCTTCACTCTTCTTTACTCCAAATTGGAAGAGAACAATAGTTGCACTTTAGATGTTGCTCACAAGCTTTTAAGACCCCAGTGGCTACTTACCAAAGTAGGATGTAGAATACTGTCTTTATTGGCCTTATTATGCCAGTTGACCTCATTGTCCCCAGCAATATGTTTCTGAGCCCCCACGCCCAGCAACCCATTCCCTCAAAGTGTTTGATTATGAGTGCCAAGTTTTCTTAAGTTTGTCCTCTGTATGCTCTTCTTCATTCAGATATATTGGTAACACATATGAATAGATGGGGGAGATATCCTCTGTGAAACTTGTATATACTCAGGGGTTTAGTCCCATTCACCTGCCCACTCCTGTTCAGCTTGAGTGTCTACCTATGTTTCCACACATATTATTGTAATGACTGTTACTGCAGGATTTTGTATGTACTAGAATTGACCTTTGTTGCTTTTAACTCTTGTGCTCCTTACTCTATCTTCCACTGCTCTTATCATTTTGTGCTGACCCCTCCCTTATTGTGTATTGTTTTTCCCTTCACCCAAGTTAGTACATATTCACACTTTAGTTAGTGAATTATACTCCTTTCTCTTTTCGCCCATGGTAACCTTCAAAAAATGAATCTTTCTGAGTGTAAACATGTTCTTGATATTTACAGTAGTGGTCTCATGCAATAGTTGTCCAGTTGCAATTAACTTATTTCACTCAGTCTGCATAATGTCCTCCAGGTTCATAATATGATAAGATTTTTCACAGATTCATCGTTATTCTTTAACATTGGGTAGTATTCTATTACGCATACCTACCGTAGTTGGTTTATCCATTGTTTATTCATCTATTGGTGGACACTTAGATTGTTTCCATATGTTTGCTACTGTGAATAATGCCGTGATGAACATGGGTGTGCATATATCTGTTCGTGTCATAGTTCTTTATTTCTGCAGAATATATACCTAGTAGTGGGATTGTGAGACCATTTGGTTTTTCTATTTCCAATTTCTTCTTCTTCTTTTTCTTTAAATTGTAATTTGGGTGAAAGTTTACAGAGCAAATTCACTTTCCACACAGCAGCTCACATACACTTTGTATCATGACATTAACTACAATTTACCACAATGCAAAAGCTCCCCTCCCACTTCCTCCCCCATAGTAACCTCTTCCCTGTGTCCTTCCCTCCCATGCACTCCTGTCCCCCGACCTGTCTCCCTGTGCATACACAGACCTTCTATTCTCCCATGATTGATCTCTCCAAGGAGTGTATCTACCTAATGTAAATGTTCATATGCTTGTCTTTTGTGTGGCTGAAAGCCACAGGAGTTTATTCAATTCCAGACCTGAAGGGAAGCTAGAGGTCATAGTCTCATTGATTCTATCAGGTTCTATCAGACCAGCAAAACTGCTCCCCACCCCGACTTTTTTTTTTTTTTTTTTGCATTTTTTCTATTCCCTTTTCCTGGTTGAAACTCTGCCCACCCCTGACAATTCAAGGTTGTTTTTTGTTTTGTTTTGTTTT